CTTATTTATGTACTTCACACTTTACAGTGATTTTTCAAATTCTCATGTTTGATCAACTAAATGGCAGCTGGTTAGAGAAGTAAAATCATATCTGTCTGTCTATTTTGTTATTGTTAATTTATTATGTTACTTTGCATGTAATGTTTTTGATAAAAGAAATGAAGACAACATGTAGCACTCAATATTCGTCTTCATTAACTGAATTATTAATTTTTTAGCAAAAATACTTTATTAGAAATTCTGATTTTCTCTGTGTAAAAGACAATGTTTACTGAAAGCTTGCCAAATTTTGTGAAGATATGTAAATCATATCGAATTGGACGATGTATCGATACAATTGTATCACTGCTTCAAGATACGATACAAAACCAGATGAAGCTAGTATCATCTTAAATAAAATCATCTGTTTGGATGTATATGTTCTACTCAAACAAATAAATGTAATATTCCCACCAGAAGTCATTTCAAAAATATAAGATACGAAATATTCTCAAAGTTGTTAGATAAGTAGTATCGAAGGAAGTTTTTAAGTTTTATTTTTAGTAACCTTAAAGTCATAAATAACCAAGTCTACTGTCATCAGAAATAATAAAATGTACAAAAATTATTTTTAAAAGAATGAAAAGACTTCCCCCACCTCAAAAAAAAATTTTCTCAATGATATCATCTACCTCTTCATACTTTAAATTTTCTCTAAAAGAATATTTAGTGCATTATAATAATTACTTAACAGAATATTAAATGCATTATAATAATTACTTAACAGAATATTAAGTGCATTATAATAATTACTTAACAGAATATAAAGTGTATTATAGTAATTACTTAACAGAATATTTAGTGTATTATAGTAATTACTTAACAGAATATTGAGCGTATTATAGTAATTACTTAACAGAATATTTAGCATATTAAAGTAATTATTTAACAGCATATTTAGTGTATTATAGTAATTACTTAACAGAATATTGAGCATATTATAGTAATTACTTAACAGAATATTTAGCATATTATAGTAATTACTTAACAGAACATTTAGTGCATTATAGTAATTACTTAACAGAACATTTAGTGTATTATAGTAATTACTTAACAGAATATTTAGTGTATTATAGTAATTACTTAATAGAACATTCAGTGTATTATAGTAATTACTTAATAGAACATTCAGTGTATTATAGTAATTACTTAATAGAACATTTAGTGTATTATAGTAATTACTTAACAGAACATTCAGTGTATTATAGTAATTACTTAACAGAACATTTAGTGCATTATAGTAATTACTTAATAGAACATTCAGTGTATTATAGTAATTACTTAAAAAAACATTTAGTGTACTATAGTAATTACTTAATTTACTCACCATACATATCAAACACTTCATCTTATCATTGTGATGATTTTGTTTTTCTAGTTCCTTAATTCGGGACTTTAAAGATGTAACTGTCTGAAGTTTATCTTGTGTAATGGTAGCTTTTCTACAATGAATGAAAATTTTTTATTATACTGAATTTGTTATTTTAGAATAAACAAAGCATGATTAAAATAGCTTGACAGTTTTAAAACACTTAATTTTATTATTTTCAAGCTATTCTACTTTCATATGAGTGAAACAAGCTATACATTTAATAATATAATGATAATTAGAGTTTGAATAAATAAATAATATTGTTATTAATCCTCATTCTTATCCTAATTCTGATTTGCAAAGAGTTATTATGAAATCAATAAGAATTACTCTTCACCAGCTTAATCTAGTTAACATCATAACAGTTTTTGTTCATGCAATCTGATAATATAGATAGCATCTCAACCACTACTATTTCTGACTATCCCAGCCAGCCTGATAAACCTTATGTTTGACATGGCAGATACAGTGTGGTTGACATATTGATAGCATCTCAACCGCTACTATTTCTGACTATTTCAGCCAGTTCGATAAGCCTTATGTTCAATATGGCAATTGCAGTGTGGTTGACATATTGATAGTGTCTCAACCACTACTATTTCTGACTATCCCAGCCAGCCTTATAAACCTTATGTTTGACATGGCAGATGTAATGTGGTTGACATATTGATAGTGTCTCAACCGCTACTATTTCTGACTATTTCAGCTAGTTTGATAAGCCTTATGTTCAATATGGCAGATGTAGTATGGTTGACATATTGATAGTGTCTCAACCGCTACTATTTCTGATTATTCCAGCCAGCCTTATAAATCTTATGTTTGACATGGCAAATGTAGTGTGGTTGACATATTGATAGTGTCTCAACCTCTACTATTTCTGACTATCCCAGCCAGCCTTATAAATTGAAAAGTTATTTGAGATATTCAAACCAGGTTATTAGTATGCTAATTCACTAATTAAAAAAAAAGTAACAAAATTATCCAGAGTCCATGTTACTTTCTCTTGCTTTCTAAATGTCTTTATTTTGTTTAGAAGCTAAGTTTTAAATACACACTCAAAAATTTATTTGATTCGCTAAAGTTCATAATTCATTTTGACGTATAAAGTTATAAATTCCAATAACTTATGGGTCAAAATAAAGAAGAATGTATATCAATATGTCAACCACACTACATCTTCCATGTCAAACATAAGGTTTATCAGGCTGGCTGGGATAGTCAGAAATGGTAGCGGTTGAGACACTATCAATATGTCAACCACACTACATCTGCCATGTCAAACATAAGGCCCCAACTTTACAGACAATTGACAAGCATTTAGTTATGTCAGTGTTTGTTTTGGCCCAAAGCCACATTGGGCTATCTGCAGCATCTATTGCAAGAAATTAAACTCTGGATTTATCCATTTTAAGTCCATAAGCTTACCACTGATCCACTGGGGCACTAAGTTATGTCATAGTTATCAAACATAAAGTTGTACATCGAAATAAAAGATGAATGATGGCTCATTTAAGACATCAGAAAAGATTACTTTGAATTTTGTGTAGCTTTGTGCTTAATTACAAACAAACAAACTTTGGATAATTTCTTATTACACATAGTTTAAGAATGATAAAGGACTTTTTAGTCCATCTAGGCCATCCCTTCCAGTAAACTAAACTTTCAAATAAAATAAAGCATTCAAAGCTGGCCCATATCATTCAAATATTCATCAAATCTTCCATTAAACTCCCTTAAATTAACTGCATCCACCATATCTGAAGACAACCTATTCATTCCAAAGGCCAACCACCCCATTAGAAAAATAAAGCTGTCTTGTCTGAAGATGACTCCTATAAAGTGGTAACTAAGGTATGATATACCTTTGTTTTTTGTATACTGGATTCTTTTCAGAATCTAATATTTTTTATCAACCAAAAATAATTTTAATATCTATTGTATAAAGATGTAAAAACAACATCAGTATTATTTTCATTGTTATTCACTAACAAAATATGTATTAATAACTAAGAAACTGTCTAACATTATTTATTCAAGAGATATTTTAAGTGGTGAGTTGGGATTTATTTTTAATAAGAAAATGAGCTTCGGCCACTTGTGGCAGTTTAGAGATGGAATTTTGAATTACTAGCATAAGTCCAAATGAAGATTTGTTCTAGCAGCTCAAAAACCGTTTTTAAACAATTGCAGATAGATGAAGTTTATTAAAACATTGGGCCCAACAATCTAAAGATCATGGGTTTGATTCCCTTCCCACCAAATATGCTCGCCCTTTCAACCATGGGAGCATTATAATGTGACAGTCAATCCCACTATTCGTTGGTAAAATGAGTAGCCCAAGTGTTGGTGGTGGGTGGTGATGACTAGCTGCTTTCCCTCTAGTCTTACTCTGCTAAATTGGGGATGGTTATTGCAGATAGCCCTCATGTAGCTTTGTGCAAAATTCGACAAAAACAAAACAAAAATCAAACATTAAAACATTATCCAAAATGCACCTAGCACTTATTGAGAATGATGACCTAGGCTTATGACCTCAAGTAACATCTGTAACTTGAACTTTTGACCTTAGTATTTGTAGTATATGTGAAAGTGTTAAGTAGTAACTATATTGGTTCTACATATTGTTACTATAAAATAACATCTATGTTAGTGACATCATTTATCTTAAATAAAATGGCTCTTTTTTCAACTTGATATAAAAAATTAGACAACTTAATGCATAATAAAAATTTTCATAAAGATTTTAAACTCAACTCTACATGTTTCAGTACTCTTATGGCACTGTCATCAAGAGCACCAAAGCACGTAGAGTCGAGTTTAACTTTCTTATAAAATGTTTATTATACATTAAGTTGTCTAAGCTCTTATATCCCTTAACCTTTACCAAAACTTTGAATTGTAACATGCATACCAAGTTTGATCTCCTCATTATTACCATTATAAATTTATTATAAAAACCAACAGCACTAGCCATTTCCTTGCATGATGTGACTACTGCTACCCATAGCACAGGTAACGTTAGACAATATACCTGTAATACTTTGTCATACACTCAAGGAAACTTTTCCTGATAAATCATTAAAAGATTCACCGATAATTGAGATAATACAGACGAATTCTACCTCTATGAAAAGTAACAAATCACTGTGGAATAAAAAATAAATACATTTTTTGTTATGACTTACTCTGATTCAATTTCCCCATTGGTTAGGGCAGGCTGTTCATTTCCTTCCAGCTCAAGCTGATGTTCTGGAAAGGCAAAAATATAAGTCTCGTTATCACGTGTGCAAACAAAAAATTTTACCAGTACTAAAAATTCCTAAGCATTCAAAAACAAATCTGTTCACTTTGGCAACACACATGCTATCATCACTGGTAGCAGCCTTATGGAATTCATCACTGGTAGAAGCCTTATGGAATACATTACTGGTAGAAGCACTATGGAATACATTACTGGTAGAAGCCCTATGGAATGCATCACTGGTAGCAGCCTTATGGAATACATTACTTTTAGAAGCCCTATGGAATACATTAATGGTAGAAATCGTGTGGAATGCATCACTGCACAGGCTGCAAGTGTATTAAAAAGAGAGCCACTAAATCAAATCCAAAAATTAATTTAATTTTCGTTTTTTGCAAGATTTTTCAGTACTGGTTTCATTGTGTTAAAAGAGATCCACAGCATGGATCTCCACACCCATTACTGAACTCTCTGACCCAGGCACTGTGGATAACTATATTTATATTATACTATCCTACAACCAGATTTACATTCCCAATATGAAACTCTCCAACCCAGGCACTATAGACAACTATACTAACCACCACAATATTCTTTAAACAAGTGTTTTCCTGTTATCTTTACTAACATTTGAACACCAATAACTGGTATTATGTGTTTTTTGTCAGATACCTCAATGAAGATAAAAATATGTTAATATTAATAAACACCAAAAAGATCAAAATATTCAAATTTCATTTAAAGAAGTGTTTAACTTAATAATTTCTACTCAATTTTATTTTATTAAGACAGGGATAAACTTGGTCTAACAGTAAGCATGTTTGGCTATGCCACTAAAGATACCTTACAGGTTCACCTGTGTGTGTGGGAAGGCATCATAACTGTGATAGTCAATAAACTATATGTAAAGAACAAACACCTAGGCTGTGAGAACTGATGAATGATTGTTCTTCTTCTGCTCACACGTTCTAAATTAGGGACATCTATGTTTGACCATTAGGGGCACTTTATCGCATGTGTTATATAAGGCTGAAAATATCAGATACTTGTTAAACCTTTTGTATTTAATGAAAAACTATCACTACCTGAAAGAGCGATATGCAGTTGTCTTTGAAAACATTTAACAATTCAATAAACATGATCATTTTAACTGTAAGTAATATTACACTTTTTATTTTCTCCAAAATATCCACACATAAAAATACATAACCTGTTCAATTTAATAAAAGCTTCTTTAATATGGAAGTATTAACTAGTCTTCTTAAACAATTGTTTTATATAAGCATAACTTACTCTAATAAACATTGCCAATTTTAAGGCTTATGATCTTAGAGAGAGAAACTCTTAAGTTACTTTCTCAGTTTCTTTGTTTTAGTTTAAAGCTGTATTTTGGGTTATCTGCACTTTCTTCAACAGTTTTAGTATGGTTATTTGCTTAGAAATGTTTATTTGTATAAAATGTATGATACATACATTTATAACACTAAATTGAAAATGATAAAAGAACAAGAAAACATCAAAGCTGATTTCAAATATGTCAACTGACAGTTTTCTTAACCCTAACTGGTACCAATTAAGATGTAAACTTTTCAAAGTCAGCAAAAATACTAATGTCAATAACATTTCTGTGAATAAAGCACACAAATTAGAATGACTGTTTAAATGTAACTGTCTAGACAATGACCAGCACAAACATAACAAAATAGCACACTTATAGAGATAGGGTTAACACATTAAAATCTTCCATCAGTTATGAATAAATCTGTTTTTAGAGCTTTTAATAAAATGAAATTACCATTTTTACAAACCCATTTGCTCCCTTCTGGAATCCTTTGTTGTCCCTCAGCATCTCTAAAATAATAGTAAAATGTTCCAATTTATAAGTTTGAATTTTCAACTTTAAGCATAATTTATTGTGATAAGTTCAGAACACTCTATAAATACAGAAAGTAATGTTATATTACATAGTTCATAAAAAGAAAACAGCTTCTTCATGAATGTATACTCAGAAATCCCTTTACCTATAATTAAACAATAAGGGGCAGACGTCTACGCCTTTGTTATTTACATTACAATAATACCATGAATATTGTAATTAATCCCACTGACTATTTCTGAGGTTTCCTGTGTATCTTACATAGAAAATGGGTGTTTTTACCCAATATTTTTGGTCACTTTATAAAACTGAGTGTTTTAAGACAAAATTACTTAATTTGATGATATGCAAACCCCACCCCCATGATAAAGAATGATATAAAAAATGATGATTTCACTGTGAACAGTTTTCATCACAACCCAACAACAGATCTCCAGTTAAAGGAACAATCTTGAAATCAAAAATTAATAATTGTACTGATGAACAGCAACCTATCAACATAGCAAGACTTACAACCTATTAACCTTGCAAGACTTACGACCTATTACCTTCGCAAGACTTACAACCTATTACCCTTGCAAGACTTACAAGCTATTAACCTCACAAGACTTACAACCTGTTACCCTTGCAAGACTTACAACCTATTAACCTTGCAAGACTTACAACCTATTAACCTCGCAAGACTTACAATCTATTAACCTCGCAAGTCTTACAACCTATTAACCTCGCAAGACTTACAACCTATTAACCTCGCAAGACTTACAACCTATTACCCTTGCAAGACTTACAACCTATTAATATCACAATACTTACAACCTATTACTCTTGCAAGACTTACAACCTATTAACCTCACAAGACTTACAACCTGTTACCCTTGCAAGACTTACAACCTATTAACCTCGCAAGACTTACAATCTATTAACCTCGCAAGTCTTACAACCTATTAACCTTGCAAGACTTACAACCTATTAACCTTGCAAGACTTACAACCTATTAACCTCACAAGACTTGGCATACTTGGGTCATCAACAAAACATTCTTGATACATTTGTGAGTCATCATTATCAAGCATCATCTGCTCGAAGCATGTCATGGAGCACCATTTTCTCTTCTTTCCACCATTCTAACACAGCTACTGCATGATACTCCCATCCAATATTTGATATTATCCATCTACCTATTTCCTCTTTTCCCATTCAGTTTTCCTTCTAGCAACAGTCATTGTATTCTATTTCTTCTTATTATATGTCCAAAGTACTCACATTTTCTTTTCTTAATAATTGATAATAATGTTCTTCTAGTTTTCATCATTTCTAATAGTTGTTCATTTGTCTTATGTTCTGTCCAAGATATTTTCAGTACTTTCCTATAGCTCCACATTTCAAATGCCTCAATTTTTTTAACATTCACTTTAGCTATTGTCCGTGTTTCAGCACCATATAGTAGGGTTGACCACACATATCATTTGACTAGTCTCATCCGTGTCGTTATGTTAATATTTTGGACATATTGTTAAATGAACTCATGGCTATTTCTATTCTTCTTTGAACCATCTTCAGTGCTCGTGTCCTAAATATATAGAATTTTTTATTTGTTTAATCAATGTTCTCTCTCTATAGTTGGACTGATTCTACGTATATCTCGGTTCATATTTACTACCATTGATTTGGTCTTTTTACTATTCATCTCCGTTCCATTGTATTTTCCTTTTTCATTTACTTTGTTTACTAACTCTTGTAGTTCTGATACACTTAGAGTTAGTAGTGTTGTGTCATCTTTATATCTTAGGTTGTTGATGTTAATTCCACCAATTACTACTCCCTTTATGTATTCTAATTCTCTAAATATTTTTTCTGTGTATAGGTTTGAACAAACTAGATGATAATACACATCCTTGTCTTATGCCTTTCTTCATCCTAAACATTTATGATGCACCTATATCTTTTTTTCTGAATAGTTTGTCTCTCAAAATAAAAAACTTATTGTTGAATAAGTTGATATTTTTTCTTTGCATACTCTCAATATGTATACATTAGCATACATAGTGAACTGTCATTTAGGTAAAAAAAAATAAATAACTATTTAAACACACAAATAGAAATCATTTTTGTGTTTATTTAAGTACACCTTGTACAATTCTGCAAAATAAAGCATAAACTATGAAAAATATATTACCAAGTTTTTATTTAAAATATTTGTTAATAAAAATTTATTAATGCTCTCACAACTTACATTAACATCGCTCTTCTCAGCTCCTCTCTCTCTCTGTTCTCCGTAGGCTCATCAGAAGAGCATGGTATAACATCTGCTTCGGTGTATCTAGTGTTCAATATCAAGGAATCAATAATGAACGTCACTATATAAAACAAACAGAAATTGGAAAATGCAAAATATTCTCATGTTTTTTCATCATTAAGTATTTATATCATTTGCAGCCTGTTAAATACACCTGAAACTTTTTAAATTTACATATTCCTACTGAATATAGGCACTTTAAAACTCAAAATCATGTTTGTTTGTTTTTTACACTACATAAATTGCTAGCCATTAATTATAATTTTGTTGCTGCCCCCACCGATTGTGGAGGTATTGTTTTTGCTCTGGGTGTGTGTGTGTGGCAGTATAATTCAAAGTTGTTGTTTTTATCTGATTTTGATCATATTTGCTATAAAGGTTGAGTGTCCTATAGGACATTTATTGAAAGTAGGTCAAAGGTAAAGGTCATATTAAATATCAAACACTTTCATTATAACAGTGGCAAATTGGGATCTTGAAATAATCAAACATTTCAAACAAACTGAGATAGAAAGAGGATCTTGGCACCTACATCTCCATTTGTGAGGGTGAGGAATTACTTTTTGTATATTTGTGGTTGGTTACTGCAAAAGTCAAAAGCATTGTGGTGTAGAGGTTGCACTCGCTTACAGCCTTTCTAGTTTCAAAACTGTTATCATTAATAACCTTTCTACTTAAATGCTAGCTATTTCACCATCTGAATCTGTTCTCCTGATAATCTGTGTTAAGGCTATTGTTTAATCATTTCCGAGAAAATGTCTTCATATAACATAATTTAATTTAAAGAGGAGTGAAAAATGCTAATAAAAATCTGAGCAAAAGCAGCCTTTCCACAGGACTCACTGTCACAAGGGCTTTTTTCTGGTTTGGGTTTGGAATCAACCAAAGGGTAACCATCCCTGACTATCAAAATTTTAAAAATTTAGAATTGTTATATGTCACTTGATTTCAATTTCCTCAGAAGAACGTTTTATGAAAAAATGAAACTATACAAGCACACTTTGTATCATGTACACTAAAACACTGTCTATATATGAGAAGGTCTATGCATGCAAGTTTCCTAGACTTAAGTAGAACACAATCCCATTAATCAATTTTAAGACTATGTGTGTCTCTTTAATGGGTTTTAATTATAATAAATACAAGATAATGCATATGGGTTATCATAATTTGAATTATAAGTATAACTTGGATGGGAATAACATTAACAGTGCTATGAAGGAAAGGGATCTCGGTGTAATAGTCAAACAGTCTCTAAAGTCATCCAAGCAGTGTTCTGTTGCTAGTGGTAGGGCAAGTAGGATTTTAGGTTGTATCTACAGAAATATTGAATACAAGTCTAAGGAGGTTATACTTTCATTGTATAGGTTACTGGTTAGGCCACATTGGAATACTTTGTTCAGTCTTGGGCTCCTTACCTTAGGAAAGACATTGAATTGTTCAGAGAAGGGTTACTAGAATAGTGTCTGGGATGGAGGGGTTGTCATACAAGGATAGGCTGAAACCACTCAAATTGTTTTCTCCTGAAAAAAGAAGAGTTAGAAGGAATCTGATTGAGGTGTTTAAGATTGTAAAGGTAATTGATAGTGTTGATGCACCATCTTTTTTCATACTTAACAGTGAGAACAGTAGGACTAGGGGGACACAAATATAAATATTGACAGAGTAGGAGTCATCATCAAAGATAGTTTTATTTCTCTAACAGGGTGGTTGACCTTTGGAATGGGTTGCCTTCAGATGTTGTAGAGGAGGTAAATTTAAATGAGTTTCAAAAAAGGCTTGATAAGTATATGAATGATAAGGGTTGGCTTTAAGATATTTTTTTTAAATTTAGTTTAGAGGATGTGACAGCCCAAGATGGACCAATAGATCCCGTGTTGTCCCAAAACATTATGTTATGTTAAAATGTTAAGATGAGTAAGAAAATCAATTATTTGTTCACTAAATCAGTGAGTAAATACTTTTAGGCTTATTATGATAAAAGTTATAGGTTAACTTTACTTTACATATGTATATATTTATAGAACAGCAAAGACCAGGCACTTGAGAAATAATACGTGGATCTAGAAGCTATCCTGTCCAGTGTTTGTAATGAAAGTTTGGAGGAGAAAATTATGAAAAAAAGTTAATCAGCAACTCTTATACTGCAACTATAGCTCCAGAGTTTGTAGTGTATTTTTATGTCAAAGGAACACAAACCAGGATTGGGCGATACTATAATTTTGTACCTGTGATTAATGCCAGTAATCTACGATGTAATAATTGTAGTCAAGTGTAAAGTGTTAAAAATATTTCAATAATGAAGCAACCTGTGTCAAGTGCACAGAGCATGTTACAATGTGAACATGGTACAACTACAAGTAGATACAAAGTTACAAATACATTAACAGCTGATGTACACATGCACATACAACTATATTATACAATAATACAAAAGTTGAAATGTGTGTTTATTAACAAGAATGCAAATAAAATCAATGTTTTGAAAATTATTACATGTTTTTTGATAAAAACACTAACTTATTGATGTTATCAGTAGAAATATGAGCCAGGAAGTTGTTAGAGATGTATCCGGTTTTCTAAACAGGCATTCTGGTGTAATGCTTGTGGCACATGTACATAAATATATGTTGGCAGGAAAAGCAAGTATAAGTAAGTTCTTTGATTCAAAATTATACCACTTTAAAGGATCTCCATCAGAATCTAACTTTGGTGAGTCCAAAGGATCTCCATCAAGATCTAACTTTGGTAGGTCCAAAGGATATCCATCAGGATCTAACTTTGGTAGGTCCAAAGGATATCCATCAGGATCTAACTTTGGTAGGTCCATAGGATATCCATCAGGATCTAACTTTGGTAATCCAAAGGATCTCCATCAAGATCTAACTTTGGTAGGTCCAAAGTATATACATCAGAATCTAACTTTGGTAAGTCGAAATAGTAAGGTATCTTTTTCTCTACTTGATTCTGAGATGAACCAAATTCTGATGTTGCACTGAAACTATTATCTTTATCCTTTCAAGAATGGCACCAACATCCTGTACTTTCTTATGTGGTGGACCACTCTCCCTCTCAGTTTCAACTACATCCACTTATGTGGCCTCAATGCAACGTTTCTCTGCAACGCAAGCAGCTTCACTTAAAAACTGAGATCGAACACGCTCTTTGTTGGCCAAATAATTTATTTTAAACCTGGGGTCCAGAAAAGCACGTTTGTAACGAAAGTCTGATGTTGTTTCCACAATGTAATATTATTGAAATTTGTCTGTTACGGATGCTGTGCGCAACTTGTCCATAGATCTGTAGTAGCTGCATAAAAATCGAAACACTGTGAACAGCTGCCTTTACAACATTCTTTTATTTTATTTCGTTATACAACTTAGAAATCTGCTTTTCAGAAAAATAATTTCTTCAAGGAAATGAACTGAATATTTCAAATTAAAAAAACTCACCATTTTTTTTTTAAGCCAGGCTTTTCTACTGCACGAAATGGCAGTATATCTGTAATTAGGAAGCAAGCAATGGTGGAATCTAGTTCGTTGGCTCGCTTGGAATCAGAATCATATTTCTTTCCTTTTTCCATAACATGAAACAGTGTATACTGATTCTTTATTGCACTGACAACTGATTTTCCTCTATATCTCTTCTGGGATTGGAGCTCCTTTTATACCAAAGTGAATCCAGACTTTACTCGTAGTATCAGACTTGTTAATTAACTAAGTTAAAGATTATTCGTTTTCACTATCCGCCATTTTAATTTAACACGTCATATGCATTGCGCATGCTCAAAAATGTAATGGATGCGCGATAATATCGTTTATATTATATTTCCAAATTTTGAAGTATCCCCGGTGTTTAGCGTCACGGTAGCACAATTCTATCGAGGTATCGCCCAACCCTACCATGAACCATTGGATACACAGTTCATGCACACTAACCACTGAACCATGTCTGGCTCTTCTTTATAATGTGAGATAAACCCATAAATGTTGACCTTCTCTATTAATTCTAATGAAGCACATTGGTACCCCAATTATTTGGGGGGGGGGGGGGGTGATCATAGCTTATACTGTTTCAAGCCTGTCACAAATAATATCTGATTCTAAAAGCAAAAGTCATACTCACGATTCCAATTCAAAAATTTATACATTCAAAATGAAAACATGGCAAATAATATATTCCAATTAAAATAGGTTCTAATCTAGAAAAATATCTTGTGACTACAATAAAAATTCAACTAGTTACAAAATAACATATTACACATTTAATATAAAAACATTTTCAAAGGATACTGTGGTTGCCCATAGGTGGCAGTATCGTCGCTATCTACGTTTAGATCTTGTTCATCGTCTTCACTGTTATGTCTTCTTGTTTGAAAACCCGACGCTGAAATAATTTAAGTATTTCACGGTTACAGAACAAGTTACGTTTTACACAAGGCATGTTCATTGAAGTAGCAAGTCTTTCTTGTATAGACTGGTCACTTCTAACATTTACATCCCCGACGAAAGAAACACATTTGTTTGAAACGTTTATTACTATATTATGCTTTTATCAGCTGTTATTTCTTAAGTTTTCCAATTAGAATTATTGAAGCTTCATTCATGTACAATTGCTACATAATGATTCATCCTACAAAGAAAAACCACCAGTTTATCTGCTCGTCACATCAGGTTGAAGTAAGTAATACCGTGACTTAATAACAAGTGTATATTATAATACCGTGACTTAATAACAAGTGTATATTATAATACCGTGACTTAATAACAAGGGTATTTTATAATACCGTGACTTAATAACAAGTGTATATTATAATACCGTGACTTAATAACAAGGGTATTTTATAATACCGTGACTTAATAACAAGTGTATATTATAATACCGTGACTTAATAACAAGGGTATATTATAATACCGTGACTTAATAACAAGGGTATTTTATAATACCGTGACTTAATAACAAGTGTATATTATAATACCGTGACTTAATAACAAGTGTATATTATAATACCGTGACTTAATAACAAGGGTATTTTATAATACCGTGACTTAGTAACAAGTGTATTTTATAATATCGTGACTTAATAACCAGCGTATTTCATTAATTTCTCTGTCCCCGGCGGAAGAGTGAAAAGTCTACGGACTTACAACGCTAAAATCCGGGGTTTGATTTCCTGCGGTGGACACAGCCCAATGTGGTTTAACTTTAAAAATAAACAATCATTCGATCTATTCAAGTTAATAAATATTACTTTCTCGCAGGGTTTCCTATAATTCAAACCTACCTGCAAATCCTCCTTTCAGAAACGATGTCGCTCTTACCCTCATTTGACCTGCCCATTCGTACTCTTCATAGGCTTCTTCTGCTTCCACATCCACCGTTTCATCTTCTGAACCATTGTTTTCTATCTAATGACAATCAAAATAAAACCTTATTATCTTCTCTTACTATCGAACTTGTCAAAAACGATACCTGCGAGACAAGCAATTCAACGCAATAATAAAACAGATATTTGCCCCCCAGTAGCACAGCGGTATGTCGCTTCAGTTATACACATTATCTTCCAGCAGCTGCTATGTTACCTGATTTCTGTGATTGTTCCCAGAAAGACATTTTAATGTGTTTTACCTTTAAAAAACACTACATGGAAAACTAAGTACTTTATTGGACATAAAAAGTCAATAAATACACTACGTTTCACTAGGATGATCCGGCATCATCAGTATGTCTGCGGACTTACAACGCTAAAAACCGCGTTTCGATACCCATGGTTGGCAGAGCACAGATAGCCCATTGTAAAGCTTTGTGCTTAACTTTAAACAAACAAAATCTTCTGGTGATTAACGTAAGTGACACCAGGTTAACCTGGCAACTTTGGGTGATTAACAAATGTGACACCGGGTTAACCTGGCAACTTCGGATGATTAAAAAACGTGACATCAGGTTAACCTGGCAACTTTGGGTGATTAACATACGTGACACCAGGTTAACCTGGCAACTTTGGGTGATTAACATACGTGACATCAGGTTAACCTGGTAACTTCGGATGATTAACGTACGTGACACCAGGTTAACCTGGCATCTTTGGGTGATTAATTTACTTCTTACTTCCAGCACCGCCTAAGTTATTAATTTAATTTTTTCCCTAACTACGTCAACATAGTACAATGTTTACGTTTACAAAATTGATATTAATCTCCAATCACGCCGTTTAAATAGAAAATTTGATAAATGTATTACTTGCAATGAAGGATAGATAATCTGTACGTCACGAATGATGAACAATTATTTACAGAAAGAACTGGAGAACTTTTACAGCGATAACAGTTTTACATGTTTACTCAGCAACTCGGCATCAGCTTGAAGTTGAATTAATTACCGAGAAAACAGATTTCGATTTATTGTTAAAGTTCCTTGAAACCATCTAAACAGAAATAAAAACGCTCCATTAGCTGTCCTTGATATTTTAGACCCCGTACCTTTCTTAGGCACCGTTCGACGTGGAGGTTGAGCTCTTCCTGATTTCCTGTCAATCTTTCACAACACACTGGACACAGAGTTTCTTCCGCCAATTTTTTCTTTGTTTTGCAGGATCGAACTGCAATAAATGTACGTCACTGTCTTTGAAGTTTCTTATATTATATTTGTTTTCAAGAAATCACATTCCAATCATGACATTTTTACCTAAATTGCAAATCTTCGATCGAAATAAGTAACTTAAATATATTAGTAAACTAGCTGGAGTACCCGCCCCCTGGACGTAAGATACGTAATTAATGAAAGGTCATCTTAGGACATAAAAAGTTGCTTCCCTTATATGTAATTGTAAAAAAAAACGACCATAAAAACTGCAAAACATAAAATGTGAAACCGCGCGTTTGTTTGTATCTCCGCATGAACCCATCAAATCTTCATGTCAAATTTGGTGTAGATCCATTAACAGGTGGCGAAGTAGTGGGAAAGAAACGCAAAAATGCAAAAGCGCCCATAAAAACCGCAAAACTGAAAATTTGTATGTAACTCCCCATGGACCCAGTGAACCTCCACCCATAGGAGGTGAGATAGTGGTAAAAAAAACACCCGCAAAAACGCCTATAAAAACTGCAAAACTGAAAATTTGTATGTATCCCCGCATGAACCTCCATACCAACTTTGGTGAAGATCCATCCACACCCTGAGAAGTAGTTACATGGACATACAACAGACAACACTATTATACTTATATAGATATATCATCTTTAGGCCTGATTTACAGATATACAAATAAAACATTATGTTTTCGTTAAATGAGTGAAATCGTAAAATTTAAACGAAAAAACAAAAACTTACACGAGCTTATTATGAAATAAATCAAAACCTCCTAGAATGCCCCGAACCTGTCCGTTTGAGAAAACAACGCATGTTTTTTTTGTTTTGTTTTTTCTTAAATGTAAGAAAAGTATTTTGTTTCAATTTATTTTAAAAATGTATGGGTTAAAAACATAGTACAGATACTTTACTAAATCGTAATCGAAGCGGGTTACGCGTTTAACGATAATTTACTATCATAAATAATTCTTAATTATGCAGCATTCAGTGAAAAAAAAAAGGCTATATACGAATGTAATAACCACATATCTGGTACACTCATCGCTGGTGTTCTCATATTAATTGGTATATTTGTTGCTAGAAGTTGCAAGGGCCTTCTTAGAAATTACGTTGCGCGATATTACCTTGACTTCTCAAATCGTACACTGCTTGTTAGAGACGCAGTAACTTTTCTTTAGAGCTTTTATTGAACTGCGGAACACCTCCGACCGCCGTATTTTCCTAGACATTATTTTGCATACATTTCCACTTTTCAACACGACCACAGTATTTCTTGGAAATTTAATTTTGAAGTTCGGTGACTCCGTCGGTATGTGCGGCTGATTAAATTTCATGCAGGCCCATTTGTTTCCACTCTATAAATTTTACAACTTCCACTTCACACCGACACAGCTGTCGCAATAAAAAGTTGCAGTTGGGACCAACACGGTATGAAATTTGATTCCAGCTTTCATGCATACACACATTTCGGCTGCTACAGCGGTGTTGTTACTCTCTTTGCCTCATTAAATTTTAAAACAGGTACATAAGAAGAGAGCGAGAATTTTCCAATACCATGAAACCGGGAATTCGAAAGCGATACATACATATATAGTAAACAACATATTGCTTTTAACTTACTAAGACAATAGGTGACGCCACTTACCTCCAAGCCGATGTTGCCGATTGCACTGGACTTTCTGGAAGGTCTGTGTCCAAATAAAAAAACAAGAAGAAGGAAAAGATAAAGATTCGTTTTAAGATTACAGAAAAAGAATAGATTAAAAAAAACTAAGTTGTCTCGAAATTTAATTAAATCAAACGGAAAATTTAATTACTGTACGTTTATCTAGCCTGTTTTGTTTTTAGTTATCAGTGCCTCGTGTCGATATCCAACAATCTACTTTACTGTCAAGTGTTCAGTTTCCGTGTTGAAACCACGAGATCCTTATGTTGTTTAAATAATTATTTTTTTTTATTTCCAAATGAAATATATATAAGGGTTCTCTAATAAACGAAAGCACGTGAGTAATAAATATAAAGCAGTTTTTGTTGAGGTCCGAAAATTAGGGCAAAAATAACATTAACTTCTCGTTCGCAACATGAACAAGCCATTAATTTGTTTTAAAAACAAATCATGCATACACAATATTGGAAAGCAAACTCACAAAACTACTAATATAAAATATTATCTTACGTTCCACCGAGAATCTAACGCATTTATTGAATCCTTCTTTCTGCTGCTTCCCGGAGAGGGCGAATTCTTAAAAATGAGACCAGGAGTATTGTTTACACATTGTAATAATATAACAGGAGTATTGTCTACACATTGTAATAATATAACAGAAGTATTGTTTACACATTGTAATAATATAACAGGAGTATTGTTTACACATTGTAGTAATATAACAGGATATTGTCTACACATTGTAATAATATAATAGGAGTATTGTCAACACATTGTAATAAAATAACAGGAGTATTGTCTACACATTGTAATAATATAACAGGAGTATTGTTTACACATTGTAATAATATAACAGGTGTACTGTTTACACCTTGCAACAATATAATGAAATTTTAGTACAGCTAAACACACAACTTAATAGTTTTCACAAGTTAAGAGAGCAGAAAAAATAAAACTTTATGAAAAAATATTTTCATGTTACGAACATACCGCGAAAGGAAAATACTACAAACGCGCAGACTGAATTCAAATATCGCAGATCAACAGCACTTGCTAGAACAACGGCACTTGCTACTGATTACTTGACAAAACAGACACTTAGTTCTGTGACAGTTTAACTGATGACTCTGCGTTATACTATAATTCCTGATCGCATTTATGTTACGTGATATCAAAAAACTATGCTGTCTTTTAAAAGTTTGCGCTAAACAACATCTGCGCTAGCCGTTCGTAATTTCAACTGATTTGTATTTGTTTTATGGCAAAGCTACTAAGGATGTTATTTACCGCCGTCTCTAATTTTAAACTACTAATCAGACGGAAGGCGTGTAGTCAGCTGCACCCTACCGCCTTCCATTCACGCTAAGGGATTCACTGTCACTCTTACCATGCAACCAAAGATTAAATTGGAGGGAATATTTTTCGGTATCGACCAGATTCGAACCCAGTTCGCCAGCTCTACTACAAGGCCAAACCGTGCCTATTGAATTATACACGAGAGAAAGGAGGATAGCTAATCAACAACACCCACCGTTAACTCTTGGGTTACTCTTATCTGACCGAATGGAGGGATTTGATCATCACTCTCATAGCGCACTACAACCCCAACAACAACATCCTCCGCTTACTCTTGGGTTACTCTTATCTGACCCAATAGCGGGATTTGATCATCACTCTCATAGCACACTCACAACCCCAACAACAACAACACCCACCGTTAACTCTTGGGTTACTATTATCTGACCGAATAACGGGATTTGACCATCACTTTCATAGCGCACTCACAACCCCAAGTTAAAAGGAGCGGTTTTGCGGCGACACAATTTAGTTATTTTCCTTTAATTAACTCCATTTTGTAGTATGTATTATCAACTGAACGTGAACAGTTAAATAATGACGCAATAAAGCCTTTAACTTAAAGTTAATGTGGCTTAGCTACTAGTGGCCTTCCAGACTGTGAACCCGAAGGTACATGGTTCGTTCCCCGTTTTAGAAGTACACAGCAATCTTTAAGCATACGTTGGACAATTAATGTTGATAGTTTTTGGAAGTTATTAATTACTGCTGTCTCCTGCATCGAAGATAACTTACCCTAATCTGTGGTGTTCCTTCTTTGGTTGGCCTCCTTAGGATCCTAACGTAGAAATAAAATATTTATTAACGCCATCTACTGTAAGCTTGTGAAGATCGAATATCAATCATTGTCATGGTTAGCAGCCTAAACGATCTCCTAAAACTAATTATTCATTATTTTTACTTTACTACACTAACTGTTAACTTTTCGGCTGTTAGTCTGTTGCAGTCTTCAGGTAGGTCTTTAGAAGGGCTGTGGTTTTGTGCTAGTAGCCAGGATTCGATCCTGGGTCTTCTTGATATAAAGCAAGGTGTGCTGTCCTTCTCAGACTTCCCTGAAGAAGGCAGCGGATTGGCTGCCGAAACGTAGAATGTACACTAATTAGTATTTATTATTTTAAATCCGTGTCGTTCCTCGTAAGTCACAAAAGGCCGGCGCTTACCATCTCGAGTTTGAAGTGGCATAAGCTAAACTTACCGCTCCAAAGTCTTCCTTATGCTGATCAGCAACTCCAGATCTAGTAATTACAACATTATCTCAGCTAGTAAAACTTACCGCTCCAAAGCCTTCCCTAAATGACAAATAACTCCAAATCTAGTAATTACAATATTCACCCCTAGCAAAACTAACTGCTCCAAAGTCTTCCTAAATGATTAATAACTCCAAATCTAGTAATTACAATAGTTACCCAACTAGTAACTAGTTGATTAGTAAATACACATTAAATCAATTAGCAAAACTAACCGCTTCAAAGCCTTCCTTAAGTTGATTAGTAATTACACATTAAATCAATTAGCAAAACTAACCACTACAAAGCCTCTTTATGCTGAATAGTAACTGCAGATCTAGTAATCACAACATTAATTCAACTAGAATACTAGTAAAACCAACTTTGGGAAAAATTAATTTAAAGTAATATTACAAATATTAAGTGAACTAACGCCACGTTCATTCCTTCAACAAAATATGTCGCTGGTGTTTAGCAAACACGTTTCAACATATTCAGAAAGCATTAAAATTATGAATCTAGCATGCAAGAGTCCACTATACATAAAATATAGATTCAGACCTCCCGAGAATGTTCCCAACTTTTTGGGATGAACAATATACAGAAGCTCCATATCATGTCTCACGTTACCCACAGACTTATTAGAAAACTGTGCATGACTTTTGTTTCAAGTTTACCCCCGTAATAAATCTGGAAGGTATAACAAAAACCTTAACCCCCTTGATGGTCCCAAAAAGATGACTGTTACATACACAAGGAAAAACAAATGAGGTACAAGAAGATATTCAATTCTACAAAATATTAGAAAGTTTACCAACCAACTTTATCTTCAATTTTGAAAGAACCACAGCTTTCACATGGGTATTCACATATTTCTTATTCAAGATATACAGTTTCTAATAAGATCCACAACTCGGAAAGTCAACAAATGAATTTTCTAAAACATATTTTAAGATGTAACAGTTTCTCAGAACGCCCTTCAATTAATACACTAGAGTAAATTCCTAGCCATTAAAATGATTTCTCTCCCAGACTCTTTTTTTATTCATTAAATTGTTTTTCAGAGTCCGCATCTCCTTAAGTTAAGTACTAGCGGTATTTTCAAACAATAATTACATGAAATTCAAATATATAATTTCATCAAAACCACAGGCACAGCTTGCTGAAGTGATTAAATAATTAAGGAAATTTTAGCGCCCCCTACTTGCCAGCTCTTGTTGCTTCTGTGTGTGTATAACGACCAGTAACCTCAAAAGAACGTACGAAACTGCAATGGGGAACCTCAAACATTTCCCAAGATTCCTCAAATGAACAATATTTTTCTCGGCTTTGCTTTTTGTCCCTTTATGTCTTTAAAGCAGGTCTTCAGCCTCTATGAAGGTATTTACACTTAAGTACTTTTTTGTTTTTGAAAGTATATTTAGTTTCGATTGGAGGACTTTTAAAAATACAAGAATACAATGAACAAACAACTATCAGGTTACCTTCGTGAACCTGTAGGACCTACTTGTTTATTTTGTTTAGTTTTTCAACTTCCTGTTCAAAATGTGATAACAACTCCGCTGGTCTGATGGTCACTCCGCACACTGGACAACACGATGCCTGTCCATCCAGCAGTCCTCTTTTTTTCACCTCTATAAATAAAAAGAAAGGGGGGGAGTGGAATTTCATCGAGGTAAAATTGTAACTTTAAAAAAAAATGTTATAATAATAATACTTACACAATGGTCATTTCAAACAATTCTCTAATAAAATATTTCAAAATCGTGTAGACAACCACGGAAACTCTAGTGATTCCTCGTTATGCTCCAACATAAATTAAATGTTTCAAAATCGTGTAGACAACCACAGAAACTAGTGATTCCTCGTTATGCTCCAACAGAAATCAAATATTACAACATCGTGTACACAACCACAGAAACTAGTTATTCATCGTTATGCTCCAACAGAAATCAAATGTTTCAAAATTGTGTAGACAACCACAGAAACTGGTGATTCCTCGTTGTGCTCCAACATAAATTAAATGTTTCAAAATTGTGTAGACAACCACAGAAACTAGTGATTCATCGTTATGCTCCAACAGAAATCAAATATTTCAAAATGATGTATATTACTGAGTTCAAGAACATCTTGAAAGACAACACACAGAACTGGTGTCTATTACTGAATTCACGAACATCTTGAAAGACAACACACAGAATTGGTGTCTATTGCTGAATTCATGAATATCTTGAACAACAACACACAGAATTGGTGTCTATTACTGAATTCACGAACATCTTGAAAGACAACACACAGAATTGGTATATATTACTGAATTCACGAACATCTTGAAAGACAACACACAGAATTGGTGTCTATTACTGAATTCACGAACATCTTGAAAAACAACACGCAGAATTGGTGTCTATTACTGAATTTACGAACATCTTGAAAGACAACACAGAATTGGTGTCTATTACTGAATTCACGAACATCTTGAAAGATAACACAGAATTGGTGTCTATTGCTGAATTAATGAACTTCTGGAAAGAAGTTGAAAGACAACACACGGAATTGGTGTATATAACATACACAACCGGAAAACAAGAAACTCAATATTACAATAGAAATCTCTTTTCACACTCCTTGTACAACACGTTAATTTGATGTGATCACACGGATAGACTGGCGCTAATGAAATTAAAACTCCAACTTGACACTTAATGAATGGTCAGATGCTTTAAAGTGGAGAAGATGCATCAGTGGGCATTAATTAAGGAGACGTACAAGTCTATATCTGGAAGAACCGCAGCCTTGTTTGGGTATTATGACGTTATTTATGGCAAGCAAGTTGAAACAAGGCGTTTTATACTGAGAGTCATTTGTCACGTATATAATGTTTAACATACAAATTCATTTTCAACGCCACAAAAGTCCCATTATTCAAGACGGCAACCACAAAAAACCTCTACAGTGTAATAAACATATTAACCTGTAACGTTCACACTGCTCCTTCACTCCTTCCGTGCTTGAGATTTTTACATTATTTCGAAGCATCGAAACGGAAAGTAACGTTACTCTAACGAAAGCGTATACTGTATTAAACTGTACGTAATCCGATTGAACCACCAATCAGCAAAGGCAGCCTTATTTTCAATATTAAATTATAAGACCTTCTCAGAATTTAACGTAAGACTGGAAAAGACGCACGAATGTGTTGAAACTACACGATTCCTCTAGTCTTCTGATATTTGAATTTATTTACTGTGTTTTTGTATTGTTGTGTATTAGCTGTGCCCATTTATTAATACATACATAACCGACTAATGAGTACAAAGCGATAAACATAAAGAATTAGAATACTCGCATTTCATTCTTCAGTTCTAGCCTATCACGTATAGGGCACCCATCTTAACCAATATGAAAAACAGCGTGTGTCACGTCACGCTTAATTTCTCGAAATATGAGGAGACTTGAAAGCCAAAATGCATTTATCCAGATAGAATAGTCTGATTACTATCTGCACATTATGAATTTAGTGACGGGAGTGCAAGGAGGCCGTGAGAGCCTCGGGTGTGTGCCGTGAAACCTTACAAGTGCAGTGAGTGTTAGTGTAATAAGCCTATATCTATACATTTCATTTTATACTTTCAGTAGATAGAATAACAACAATATTAGGTTATACTTTTGTTGCTAAACAACATGACATAAAAGCCATTGTTGGAACGTAGTGTTACCAAAACGTACTGGCTTTTCTATATATTAGAAGTTGTTAAC